TCATTAGGAATAACAACCAATCTTACGAAGACAATTGTGTATGAATAAAGGATCATCCACTCTCGATGTTATGAGAGAAATATCTCGTGTGTTCTCACTTAGGCAAATCCTTGACGAGGGTCACTTGGATTAAAAGAGAATGAGTTCTCCGAGAGAATCTAATAAGTGTGAGACTCTGATGGATTCCGTATGGGCCTGATAGCACCATACATAATATACAATCTTTAGAATATTAGATGGATAAGGGACTATAGATACACGATAACTGAGGGCAGATAAGTCCAATGGGTTAGATCCCCCCGTACTGTCTAGGGACTATGGCATAATGGCATAGTACGTTTATAGCCGATGAATTGAGTAAATTATTATGAGGATAATAATTCACTGAGTTAGAAGGGATTTGAGTCAAACGGGATTCTGACAAGTTCAACTCACGACCAGCTCAATATTGAACCTAGAGGTCACACACATATGGTGGATGATGCAATAAATAGATGATTGGATGTGAGATATCCAATAAGCCCCTATCTTAATGGATCTATTGAGTAAAACCTAATAGAGCTTATAGTGGTTATTGGATGAAGATCCAATATCCTTTAAGCCAATGATTATTGGATGAGGATCTAATAACCACTTAGAAGGATCCATTAGGATTAGCAAGAGGGGTTCTCTATAAATAAGAGTGGGGCTCAAAGGATCATAGGCTAGACCTCTATTGCTGCCAACCTCCTCATCTCCTCCCCCCTTCTTTCTCCAACTGACTGCCTCATCTCTAATGCAAGAGGATAGCAAGAGGGACCAATCCCTCCTTATGTACTACTGTATAGTGGCACACGAACATGAGGAAAGAACATAATACACGAGGAGATGTGTCATTACTGCATCCATCATGTGGATCATCGCTAGAGAGGAGTTTGCAAGAGCTCCTTCATTCTCGGATTGAAATTTACGATCTTAGGGGATATATGAGTTCCCCTAGGTGAGAATGTCTCACACCCCTTATACGGTTTTTGTCACTTTGAGGTTTACGCTCCCGATCTTCACTCGACGATTCAATAAGTTTATATTGAGAAACCAAATTTTGTTTTTATTTTTCACTACGTATATGATGCTCCCCAAGATTTCTCATTAAAATTTTACTCTTTTTGGGCAAAACTTCTTGTATTCTAGAAGTTTGATAGTAATAAGCAGGCGAATTGCAGTAGCTTACTCAACGCAAGGAGTGCAAACACTTTGGGTGCTTTAGAAGTGATAGTAAAGAGCAGGTGAAGGCTAGTAACCAGCTTGATACATAAAGTACAACCCTCGAGGAGGCGAGCGAAGTCAAGTAATATTTATTTTCTCAACTCTTAAGAAAATAGGTGAAATTAAGTATTCTAGTTTTCTTATTTATCCAACACAGGAGCTTTGCAAATGTTCAAAGACTCTTCAAAAAAACTTAGTAAAAAATAACATTTGTTAAATCTTCACCAATGGTGATCGGTTTTACCAAGAGTATATTGTTTGTTTTATTTTCAAATAGGATACTAATTAAAAGTGGACATGATGCGAACTTGCTTAGAGATGACAACTAAATAGAAGAGGAATTGATGGACAAATTTTACAGAGGAAAGATATAAAAAAATTTAAAGTTGATGAGACAATACTTGTTAAAGCTTTAATAGGCATCCGACTAGTTCAAGTGGTGCAAGACATTTGAGAGACTAACATATAACAAAGAAGGTCTTTTCCTTCATTTGAATGATCTATAGGAACCGACAAAAATCAGCATACCTCGACTAACCCCATGTTAGAAAATCATGGGTCGGCATCTCATGTGTAGCGAAAAATAAAAAACAAAACTAGATTTGCTAACGTTAAGTACTTGGCTGTTGTGCGATGATTAGTGCATGAGAAAAATCACAAAATCGAAAAATCACATGTATCATGTTAGAAGTGTTACCTAGGGAGATCTATATCCCTGAAATTTTTAGATTTGATAGAGTGGATGAAGGAGAACTCGTGTACTCCTCTCTAGCAGTGATCCACATAGTATACATCATGACGATGCTCCTTAGATCATTGTGAGATCTCCCTCTCCAAGCGCATCACAAGGCTATCGAAGCCAAGGAGGCTGAGGAGAATAAGAGGGGTGACCACCAGAAGTTCTAGCCTATGAACCATGAGGTTTCTCCTATTTATATAGGTGCAAGCAACTTAACCCTTAATGGATCCTATCCTCATTAGATCTTTATCCAATTATCCAATTGGATCTTATCCATATAATCCAAACTAGAGCTCCATAGATATCTCATATCCGCATCTCTACTCATCGCAACATCCACTATATATATGTGACCCTCTAGGCTCGATATCTAGCTGGCCGTGAGTCGATCCTGTCAAAACTTCTTATGATATAATGAATTATTATCTTCATAATAATTCACTTGACTCATCAACTATAGACGTACTATGCAACTACGCCACAGTCCTCGGATGATACAGGGGATCTAATCCATTGGACATGTCTATCCTTAGTTACCATGTATTTATAGTCCATCATTCATCTAATATCTCAAAGACCATATATTGGGCATGATAACATCAAGCCCATACAGAATCCTGTTTGAGTCTCGCTCTAATCGTATTCTCCCGGAGAACTTATTCTCTCTCAATCCGAACGATCGTAGTTAAAGATTTTGTTTGAACGAGCACACATGGGATATTCCTCTCGTGATACCGAGAGTGGATGATCGTCTGTTGACACTCAATTACCTTCGTAAGATTGACTGCTATTCTTGAGAACTGATTGTATCAGATCTAGAACTTCCAAACCTATAAGTTCAACGTCAAAGAATAGAGTATTCATACAAGACATCTTTGGTATTTCAAGTCTAATGACCAGATACGCAATTGGGACTATAGAATCGTTGTCTGACGTCAGGTATCATTAACCATCTAGTATTCCGTAAGTGGATTAATTAATGAACTTATTCTCCGATGAGTACTTGCACTATACCTCTAGTATCTCTACACGAGCGACTTTGAGACCAGCCGCCTCCATTATATGGTCGAATATATAACGCACCAGTCTATTCGGTTATCTCGATGTCCTTCTCGAGTAACATATGACCGGGATGATTTAGAGTATATATTTAAATATGAATTTGTCTCATTATCATGATCTCATCATGATCTGATTCTCATTGCACAGATTCAATGACATCACAATATACATCTGGATAATATATGATAAAATGCCAGTAATAATAAGCAAAGAAATTGTTGCAGCGTGTTACATGTGTCATCACTCACGTGATTGGCTTGTAGGGTACCAATAACTAACACCCCACACCAGAGTCGAAGTCCTTAGTAAGTTAAAGCAACATGATAGATCAAAGTTTGATTACTCAACAATAGTTAGAGCTGATAATTGAAGATTTAGCAAAAGCAAGAAGATGTAACATCGGCAACGGCAAAGGCTTCGGCAAAGATGTGGAAGGAATAAGTGGGGAAGAATGTTATAGACAAAGCTATAAACATGATGTTTGATATAATACTTGTGTAAGCATGTGTCTTTTGATTTTGTTCATACTTTGCATAACATATAAAGCACTTGTAGTAGGCTTGACAATCTCATTTTGATTAATTTTTATATTTGTTTCAGTCATGTAATTGCAAATTATGTGTAGTCATCGTGCAAAAGCAAAATTACCTATAAATTTCATCCAGATAATCATTTTGAGAGTTTTTAAGCTCGCTACTTAGGTGACATATGGTTGGATGTGCCTTTGGGATAGTGTCTAAGGTTGGTTCATTGTCTTATTCCATAGTAATCTTATTTGAACACTCGTGAAAACTTTTAGCTGGATCTTGGACTCTTTATCATGCAATCGTTCATTAGTATTATCTATTTCTGAAATAATTGTTTGTCGAATCTCGGGCTAAAAATTTTCTTTTAATTTGTTATCTCCTTTACACATCTTTAAGAAACCATGAGTGATTTCGGAGACAGTGACCTCGTCCATATCACCTAAATATTAGGTTAAACATATTCAATAAAAGTTCCTCCAATGAGTATTTACAATGTCGTTCAGAAGACTTGAGAGCCGGAGAAGTCCACGCGTTGACCGTGTAAGAATACAAAGACGTGGTGTGTGGTTGCCGCCAACCTCTGCCTCAAAAGACGCATGCATAGAGAGGGTCATCCGCCCGCATCCATTATCGATTTCTCGTGAACGCTAACCGGGCAACTGAGTTGTATCTCTTTCAGAAGCCTCAAATAAATGACATCAGTTTACTTGTGGCTTTTAAGTTCTCTCGATCTTGAAAGCGTAACTCGCAGTTGTAGTCCTCGGGCTACGGCGCCACTTTCAATTGAATTCTTCAAATCTAATTCACATCCAGTCGTGTCGTCAGCTTAGCTTTTGACCGTGCCCCCACGAGCATCCGATCCAAAGCTGGGATTGGTCCTATTTGATTTACCAACAAACAAATCTTCCCCCCATATTTATGTCCAATTGGTAATCCAACGAGTCGAGATTGCTTTATGGCTGAAAAGGATTGAATAAACTACTAATTAAAATTAAGAGAGTAATTATATTATATATAATAAATAGGAACCCTATCAAGATTTTATCCCAACACTCGGATGGATGACGACGGTACAATTTTTACCCAAAATAAACTCTCAACAAGTGCAGCAAAAGCAAAGAAACTTTCTACGCAAATGCCAGTAGTGTGAAGAGATGTTGCCAGACGAGACGGGAAAGCACCATAAAAAGTTGCAGTTAGGCTAATGAAACACACCATACTTAAAAGAATTTCTTACAAAATCATCATCAACTAGCTATGCTATCACTGCGACGATCCATGCCTTTCAAATCTGTTTCCAACTTCGGATTTTTCATGTGACCGACCAGCAGCAGTATCACAATCATAATAAGCAGTAATTGAACTTCGAAAGTGGTAAATGTATTCACAAAATTGCATCACACAAATCCATGAAGACATGTAACCTCTTAAAAAGCAGACTCTGGAATAATTCAAAAACAAAAAAATCAATGTACTCAAATGTACCAATCAAATAAGAAGATAGCCATCCTACAATGCTTGCATTGTTTAAAAGCCTAAAGCATCTATCATCTCTCTCTTAAGTAAATGATACAGGGAGGCCACAATTCCATAATTTAGATAAACTCACTCTTATCGAAGAACAATGGAAATGAAGGATTGGGGGTGTGTATTATGTGCAGTCTGGAAACAAAAAATTCAGAAAGATGTCTGACTTTTGTTGTCCCATGAGGTTCCTGAATAAGCTTAACTTTGAGTTTTCTCCACTTTGGCCTTGATCTTTTGTTCCAAAATGGCTTTCTCAGTGTCCAGACTGAACATCCTATTGAGTGCATGCATATTTTCAAGGGTCTCATCCAGAGTCCGGCTATCGGTGCCATCACATCTCAAGTGCTGCAGTGGGCCATGAAGAAGCTTGTTTACTATACCACTGCTGAGGTCTTCAATAGCTTTTCTCATTTTCTTTGTTAATGCATCATCGCCTATCTTCTGAAAACACTTCTCAAGCTCCGAAACCCGAATTCTATCAGCATAGGACCTCAACTTCTTGATGGTAGGGACGGTCTCCAGAGAGTCCCTCCATGCCTCAAACCGTTTCAGTTCCTGCGTAATTATTGATTGAGCTTCCATTGCCTTCCTCAGCCGATCTTCCTTGTTGGCTTCCACAACCTCCTTGAGGTCGTCGACATTGTACACTCGAGCATGTTCAAGATTTGCAGCACAGGATCCTACGTTCCTAGGCACTGAAATATCCACAAAAAGTCTTATGCTCCCAACTTCGTAGCCCACAGGAGGAAGAGCTTCAACATGCTCTTTCAAGAATAGTGGTGTCTCAGATGCTGTGCTTGTGAAAATAACATCTGCCTCAGCAGAAGAGGAGAGCATTTCTGAGAAAGGTCTGTAGATAATTTCAATATCCTTCAGTTCTTCACGGATAGCATCTACCCTCTCCACTGACCTGTTAACGACCACAACCTTTTTGCATCCTTTGGCAGCTAGATGTTTGATCACTAGCTTCCCCATCTTGCCGGCTCCAATCACCAGCATTCGAGCAGATGTAGAATGGGACTTTGGGAGTTTCATAAGAGCCAACTCAACTGCAGCTGAGCTTACAGAGACCGCACCAGATGCTATGTTGGTCTCACTGCGAACTCGTTTTCCAGCAGTAATTGCATCCTTAAACATCCTGTCAATATTCTTTCCCAATCCTCCACTGCCTTGCCCGATCCTTACAACTTGTTTAACTTGAGCGAGAATCTGTCCTTCTCCCAAGACAAGAGAGTCAAGACCTGCCGACACTTCAAACAGATGCCTTGTGGCATCACTATCACGGAGCACAAAAAGATGTTGTCGGAGCTCTGATACCGGAATCCCACTTGTCTGCCACATCATACAAGAGCAAATAATTAATAACTGATGGACTAGAAACATGCTAAAAGAACACCAGTTTCTTTTGCAGAGTAAAGATGGATGGAATCACAATTGAGACATATATGAAGAGCACACAGTTTGTGATGGAGAAAAAACAGTTACCTTTGCCATCCACTCCATCACTTCTCTGATTCCACGATTCCAAGACAAAGCAACTACATATATTTCCATTCTGTTGCATGTACTGAGAACTGCAGCTTCTTCTATATGATTCAGGCTGCATAATTCACCAATAGCACGAGGCCACTGGGCCTCTGGCACAGCAAGTTTTTCACGCATCTCGACAGGAGCCGTATGAACACTCAGACCTATCACAGCTATGCTGCTCCTCTCCTTCATATATCCTGCAAAAAGTGAACCAGAAGAAGTTAATAAATTGTGTTAAGATAATCATCAAAGGAACAAAAGTTTTGTTCATTGTCTCCTAGCTGCGCTGAAGTAAAACACCAGCATTGTTAACTTTTGTAAGGAAATACATCCGAGAAAAATGATGAATAAGAAAGTACTAAATTATAACTCAACAACAGTATATATCAAGGCAAATATGAGTGTCGAATGATACAATCCAAATATTCATCTGCATGAGCACAGGATAGAAGGACAAAATTCCGACACAAGAATCTTGTTTCTCAGCAAAATAAGACAGCAGAAGCTTCTATTCAGAAGTACCAAATGAAGGTGGCAATAAAGATGCTGTTTATCCATTGATGATTACTGAAATAATTTGAGCTATCTGCGAATTGATGAGGTCAGGATAGTCTACATAAGCCATTACCAAAATCCAACTACCATTATTCAATAAGAACAAAAACAGATGCTGGAATTTAGGAGATTATGGACCTAGAGATGCTTCAGATTTAAGTATGGAAACCAAAGAAACAAAAACAAACCAGTTTAATAATCCCATGTTGTTAGTTTCACAAGCATCTAATCCTAATTTTGACATCATGGTATTCAAAAGATATCAAGCCCTAAATAAGGAATCAGGGAATGCCAAACTCGTATATCAACCTCATCTCATTAACTACCCTGACATATTAGATAGATTAGGAACCCCTGCAGATAATGGCAATTACATCAGTTCTTGCGCTTCTATAATATGTGACGAACTACTCGATTAATCCCACAAATCCATGTAGACTAGAGATCCTGACGATCAGACCCAACCGTATTGCCAAGTACTTCTCAACCACTACAATTCCATGATGCTAATCCCCAACAAAAAGGGGGAAAAGGAACCCTTTTCATAAGCTAGAAAGAAAAATTGCAGCCTTTGCAGACCTTCACTTCGTCAGTAGGACGAAACCGACAATCTCTAATGAGAAAATAGAGGGGAAAATGCGGCACGGGGCTTACGGTCTGCAGAAATCTTGAATTGCTCAAGGGCCGAGACGCTGGCGGCCGCTGCCGACTTCTCCTCGAGATCCGCCTTCACCTCGCAGCGTGGGCTCCTCCGGAGAACAACCCTGGGGCTCCCACTATACGCGGGGCCTCTGGGACGGACCCGATACAATCCAGCCGAACTCCAAGATGCAGACGACGACCGAGAGGGAGAGCTCCTGCGGAAGACAGACTCGACCTTCCCGGGCCCCGCAACGGTGATCACCACGCCGCCGGCGGTGCCCATTGAAGACTAGTTTTCAGCAGCAACTGCGATTAAAAACCTAACCAAGAAAAGAAGGAAGAACACGAGCTTCGCGAATAGATCGATCGAGAGGAATTGAAAGCAGGGTTCGAGAAAGAGGCGAAAGAATTCCCTCGCCCCCCCCCCCTCGCTCGATCGCGCTCGCGCTCGCGCTCTCTCTCTCTCCCCTTCTTGATATGTATGCTGAGATGGGAACGGCCGCGGGGGCCGTACGACGGATGGAGGGCAGAAGGGGACACCCAAGATTTGGTCGTCGGGAGAAAACTGAGAAGAGAAAAAGAAGGAAATATCACAAAGCAATATTGAGTTGAGAACGCTGTTCCGCCGAAATCAAAGGGTTCGCCACAGGGTACTCGTTCTGAATTTCGTCACACTTACCCTTTCTCTTCATTCGGAAACCGTGGTGGAGCCCAAGTCGGGTCACTGTGTTTACCAATCATCACTCGGGTAAAAGACTTGCCCGTGTATTAATATATATATATTTATCTTGGGCGGGTGGATGTGGTTTGGTATTCCTCGCTCATTCATTGGCTGGTGTTTGGGTTACGCGTTCCACCCGCCCTCCCATCGCCGCGCCACCTGTTATGATCACGCACGAATTCCAGCCTCACAAATACATCACTCTGGAGGAGAGAGAGAGAGAGAGAGAGAGAGAGAGAGAGGTGGGTAGAATTACCATTTGACTTGAAGGGGTGTTTTGGTTCCGCACGTTTCTGGTGAATTGAACCGCTGGTTGATTCGGTGCGAAAGTAGTAGGTTTGACCTTAGCGACCACGATTAATCAGCCGTCCGCGTTGACCAGAAGCAGCGTGTGGAAGCCATAATCGGCAATGTAAAATCGAATTTTCTCCTCTTTTTATTCCTTCTCTTTTTTTCTTGTGCCAAATACACCATTCACTTTTGTTGACATATCCTTTGGTATCACCAGATTAATTAAAAGCTTGCTGAAATAACTTGTTCTTTCTTTCTTGTGAGAACTCGCTTATGCTTGCATTCATCGCATCATATCATACGATGTAGATGAGGTCTTCCCGCACCAACCGCTCCGTTTCCACTGCGCAAGCTTTGACGAAGTCCACTCAATTTTGGAGGTCAGCAAAGGTAGGAGAAGAAGAATAAGAAGCTTCGACGGACCAAGGAACGTCGTCTCACCAGCAAAATTATGTGCCAAAAGCTGCATCACAGCCTCCCTCCTTCTTCGTCGTCGTCTTCTTCTTTTATGCTGCATGTGTTACAGAATTAACGCGTGAAGCACGTTGGTTGGGTCTTCTTCAGCCCCGGTTCGTCACCCAGAGGGAGGGGGTGCGGATCGTGTGTCTTCTGCCGCGGCAGGAGACAGGACGCAGCTAACCCTGAGTAGCACGTAACGCCAGCAGAGATGGTTGGGCCCACAGGCGTATGTTAAGTGTCTCCTACTTTCCTGTTCCCTGACTTAACCGAGACAGGAAGACTAGGTGTCCCACCTGACCGGAAGCTGTCCCGGCTTCATGGTTCGGGTCGACAAGATTTGCGGTTCGGGGGAATGAGCCGAACCGATACCGTGTTCCCATGTGGCTCGGGGTTAGGCACCGGTTGTGGTAGGTTGGTGGCCTCACCTGGCGCCAAACCCACCACTTTCTATATATATTTCCTACCCACCTCTCGCCCATCGTGATCGAGTTCGCATATTTGACGAAACCAGATCGAGGCGATCGATCCATCATGGCTTCTTCTTTGGCGTACTCCAAATCTTTACTCGGGGAAGAGAGAGCCGACGGCGTCTCCGGCCTCGGCTTCCGTCAGCCCTCCGATCTCCGCCGCCTGTCCTCCGCCGCCGTCCAGATCTCCATCCGGCATCGGACTTCCCTTCCCCAGCGAAGGCTCGGTGAGTTCTCCTCCTCTTCCACGTGTCCCCCCTCCCTCCCCACCCCCCCGAGTTTTTGACTTGCTGTGTCCGTAATGGAAGAAAAAAAAGGTGATCTTGCTTTCTTGATGGCCAAGGAGCTAAAGTTCTTGTTATAGAGAAGACAGGAAGGAAAATTCTTTGAGATCTCTCATCTTAATGTTGCAAATCTTGTTCTTCGGTACCGGTGTCATGTGACGAGGGTAATAATAATGATGGGACGCAAACTGACATCGTCTGCTCCCGGGTGACGTCTCCTGGGTCACGCGGACCGAGGAGATGCATGGGCCGTTTGTCTCGGTGTGACTTGACAGTGCTGAGCTGAGACAGACCAAAATGTCGAACGAGGCACGTTGCTATCCTACAGGAGCCCGGTCCTCCACGCAACCCCAACGCCGGGGTCAAACGCCTTCCTATGTATGGTCCTGCTCCCTACAAGCGGGCACACGGTGACCTTCCCTATAAAAACCCTCGCGTTCGGAACGAGGGAGGGGAAAAAGAAAAGAGAGGAGAAAACCTCCCAAGATTCTCGACTGACTTGACCATCGGAGGGGTCGGGTCGAGCTCTCCCGACCTGACCTGTATGTAGGGACGAAGACGGAGCGCCTCCCACCACGCACCCAGGCGAGGAGTTCCCTCCCAGAAGAAACGGTTGTCTCGTCGAGACCGGACCAACGTAGTCGGCTACCTCAGCACTCTCAAGGGTAATCCATGAAGATCCCCGCTCATTCAGACCCGAACCCAACTGTGTTGGCCCCGAGGCTGCAGCTTAAAGTTGTTGACACTAACATTTTGGCGCTAGAGGGAGGGCCCGAATGTCGAGGGATCGCCAGATCGACCCAGACGAACCCCCAGCTAAGGGGTCGTGCCTGATCGGGGCTCCGGGGGAACGCCCCCTGCATGGTGAACCCCTAGCTAAGCACCCCGCTGCAACTTCAGAGCGCTATTGGCGGTTATTCAACGACCCGGGCTTGTCGCCGCCCGAAGGCGTCCCAACCGACCCATCGCCCGTATCGCCCGAGTCCTTTCAGGACCTCGCTCATCAAGTTCGAGCTCTGAATGGGATGGTGCAGACCATTATCCCACTCATTTCTCATCCGGCGCACCCACCTGCGATCCAACCACTGCTGCAACAAGTGCTGCGCGTTCGGGCTCACACGATACCCCCGGAACTCCCCGCGTCGCCTCAAGTCTGGCCGCCCCCGCTCGAAGATCGAGCAATGGGAAACCCGAGCGCCTGCTTGGAGCCCGAGGTGTTATCTTCAGATTCAGCGGGCTCCCTGCGAGCCCAGCTACGCTGCGTTAACCAACGACTCGACGAAGTGCAGAGGGAGGTTCGTAAGTCTAAGGAAGAACTTGGGGAGGACGCACATCGGGGGTCTCTGTTCGCGCTTGAGATACAAGATCAGTCAATCCCCCCGAACTTCCGTCTTCCCTCTCTCGATGCATACGACGGCGCCACCGACCTGACGGACCACGTAGCCGCCTTCCGAGCCTAGATGGCGCTATACGGGACCTCAAACGCCTTGATGTGCAGGGCGTTTCCCACGACACTGAGGGGCCCAACTCGCGCATGGTATAGTGGCCTGAAGGCTGGGGCGATCACATCCTTTGATCAGCTCGCCAAAGACTTTGAGCTTAACTTCCTAGCGTACGCCCGGCCGAAGCCGCCCGTCGCACTGCTCCTCAGACTTAACTAAAGGGAGGTCGAGCCCCTCTCCCATTTTGTGAATCATTTTGCTACGGAAATCCGAGGGTTGCCGGACGCTCATCCCTCTCTATTAATGCAGGCGTTTATGATAGGCCTACGACCGTCCAGATTCTTCTGGTCCCTTGTGGAGTGACCCCCCACCACGGTACCGGAGATGCTCCAGCGGGCTAACCAGTACATCGCGGCCGAGGCATGGATGGCCCGGAGGCGAGAGGAGCACAAAAGGGTTAGGCCGGAGCCACCCCGGGGGCAACAATCTATCGCGTCGAGGCGCAAGGTGGATCGACCTGACTAGCCAGCATCGAGGTCCCCGCTCCCCATCTCGGGGGTGTCTCGAACAGAGATATTCCTCCAAATAAGGGAGAAGGGGTTGTTCAAATCCCCTAACCCGATGAGAAGTTCGCGGGAGCTCGGGGACCGATCCAAGTATTGTCGTTTCCATCGACAAAACAGACATGACACCGAGGAGTGCTGCGAGTTGAAACGACAGATTAAGAAGCTCATTCGCGGAGGACACCTCGGCCGGTACCTCCGACAAGCCAAGGAGCTTTCACCCCGCCCGGAGGGCCATGTTGAGCGGCAGATTGACGTGATAACAGGCGGCCCAGCATTCGGGGGGAATAGTATGTCCGGGCGAAAGACATACGCCCGCGCCGCGGCGGCCGAAGCCCCCAAACGCGGACCCGAGCCTGAGGTCACGTTCCTGGCCAAAGGAACCGAGCGATTCGAGCACGATGATCCACTCGTAATAGCGGCCAGGATCGTCGACGCCCAAGTGAAGAAGATCATGATCGACACAGGGAGCTCAGCCGACGTGCTCTACCTGGATGCGTTTCAAAAGCTCGGGGTAACTAGAGACGCCTTGGAACCGATGTGCTCGGCACTCACCGGGTTCACCGGCAACTCGATCTCACAGTTGGGAGCGATCACCTTGCCCCTAACCCTGGAAGTCCCACCAAGGTCCAAGACGGTGATAGCGACCTTCTTGGTGGTTGACCTCCCCACTGCATACAACGCAATCCTTGGCCGCCCGACCCTCAACAAGATCAGGGCTGTTATCTCCACTTACTACCAAACAGTGAAGTTTCCGACTCACACCGGGGTCAGGGAAGTCTGGGGAAGTCCCCTCGAATCTAGACGGTGCTACTTGACGGCGGTCTCATTACACAAAAGGGCAAGGACCGAACAAGCACTAGGGGATCCCCGGGAAACAAAGAAACCGACCCAACATCTTGAGCCAATGGAGTCCACTAATAGCTTACCCCTAATAGAGGGTCGGCCAGACCGGACGATCAAAATCGTGTCGGAACTCCATGAGTGAGAAAGGGAGCAGCTCGTCGGCTTCCTACAGGAGAACGCTGACGTCTTCACCTGGTCGCCGGCTGACATGACAGGCATCAACCCAAAGGGTGCCCAACATCACCTAAACATTTCGCCCGATGCTCCCCAGGTGAGGCAGAGGCCCCGACGACAGGCCCCCGACTGACAACTAGTTGTTCGTGAGGAGGTGAAGCGACTT